AATTTCCTTTATTTTAAATAATCAAAATCAAATGACATTCTGTGAGAAAACACAAAATAAGCAATTTGAATTATCTAGTGAAAACAAACCACTCCTTTGCAAAGTTGAAAAACAATTAAATGAATAAGATATAATAAATACTACATTTTACATTTTATGATTATTTTAATTGATCATTACAAATTTTACATGTGTATTTCAATAATTAATTATTTTATAACTACTTAAGACTAATTTTATAAAAAATTTAGTATAGTAATCTATGTGATTACATATTGATTTGATCAGTTAGTATAAGTTTTACAATAAAACAAAACTTTAAACAAAATTTTCATTTATTAAACAAGTTTCAAATTTAAATTTACTGCGATCATAATATAATAAACTACACAATTCAAAATTACGTATACAATTGTTAATTATAAAAATATTCTTCAAACAGCTTAAATGGTGTTCATAATAAAATAAAACCAATTTGCAAAATATAGAAAATTTAAAAATTTATTTTTAGAAATGTGAAAATACCATACTAGATATGTGTCGAAACACATACACACATACACAAACATTAAAAAGTTATTGGTATATATAAGAACGCAAGTAAATATATACACACTGTAATACTATGCTATACATAAATTTAAAATCTTGTGTTAACCAATTTTAAATCTAAGTGGTTATATACGTTGCATAACTTTAGCTTTTTTTATGGCTGTAAAGATTATTATATATTTCTCAAATTCATATTACTGCAAGAAAAATTATAGTACTAAAGGTTGAATACATTCAAACATTATTAATATTACTTATATTTTTATCACTATTTATTCCTCCAGACCAAGAATCCTGCCTACCATCTAGATTTCGACACCAGGATTTACATTTCCCACATGATCCAGCCAAGGCAGCGCTTCAACGCGATTGCTAAAATGTTCTACGACTCGGATATCGTGTCTATAGATTTCACAAATGGAATAAATAAAAATAACAGTGATGGTACTGTCAGCAAATACGATAGTGCTGCCATTATGAATCAGTGGGTCGCCAATGTTACAAGGGGACACATTACAGAATTGGTCAACCACGGTAGGTGGTGAATTTTTAATAAAATTGATTTTTATTTGATCACATATTGACAAATTTATTTTGCTCCAGCGGATGTTTATGGTGCTGTTGAACGTCATATACTTTAAAGGCGAATGGAGAAAACAATTTCCCGAGGAGAATACAACGTTGGGAAAATTCTACCTGGATGTCGATAAATAAATTACATAAAAAAATAAATTAAATTTTAATATATATACTAGAGGATCCGACAGACGTTGTCCTGTACCCACGTCTACAATTTTTTACAATCCTCTACTAATATATACAGTTTACCTAAAAATAATAAGTATATTTTTTTAAATTACTCTCCACACCACCAAATGCATATTCAGTAGAACCTCGATTATCCTGACCTCAGTTATACGGATTCGCGATTGTCCGGACATAATGGCGTTCGTTTGCAATTTTACTAGTGTGTTCTGACGTGATATATACATTAATACATTCTTAGTTTTCACGTGCATATATACATTTTTAAAGGGTGTTGTTATCCCTTAAAGATAAAATAAATATAATAGAATTATTAAAAAAAGGCGAAACCGTTCGTAAGTTAGCTGATAGGTATAAGTACAGTACATCCACTATAGGCGATATTAAAAATAATGCCGATTCAATTTTATCGTACACTTGCAAGATAGATAGTAAAGAGGGGAGTGAAAATCGGAAAATGACGAAAAGACCGAAAAAATAACTCTTAGAAGAAGCTCTATTCTGTTGGTTTTTACAAAAACGATCAACAAATTATTCGTAACTTTTCTTCTTCATTGATACTTTACGTACCTCCTGAATATAATATGTATAATGTAATCTAATTGTGAGAATGTGTAATCTCATCTATGTATGTATTTGTTATTTTTGATAAACAAAACATCATTCTTCATAATTTGGATTATCCGGATTTTCGATTATCCGGATGCCTATCGACAACAATTAGTCCGAATAATCGAGGTTCTACTGTACAACAATATGAGTGATGTTAAATTTTCTTAACTGCTTTAAATAAAATGATGAGTCTCAATTTCCACACTAAATTGGAAATTGGAGTCTTTTAAACGGTACAACAAATTCAGAAAAAAATAATATATAGTATCCGTGGTAACAGTACAATACTACCTTGGATTTTTTTTAATTGTTCCAATAATGTTTCCTACAATTTTTATAATTTCGTATTATATTTTAATAGGTTTTTAGTAATTATGATATCTAAATTACATTTTTCTTAGTAATAATTTGATATACATTATTACCAGGGATCCTCAGCGCCCGCTTTGCCAATTCCCTCCAATTATTTTACCTGTTTTAACCATAGACCTTATATACATGGACTGCCAGTGCCCATACATTTCTCAGGAACAAAAATGTCAAAAGATGTTCTATGGTATGAATGCACATGAAGGTGCATTCACACCTAACAAACAACATGAACAGGCAAGAATTGCGATAGTTTTTCACATTGCAATGTACTCTTGAATTAATATTTTTTTTATATTTAAGTGGATTACTTACATATGTTGAAGAGTTCACGCAACTTGCCACTTACACCAAGTTTATACACTTAAAAATTATTTGTGAACAGAGCTTAGAGTTGCCTGTTTTTGATTCGATCTCGCATTAAATGCGGCCGATTTTGGCTGATTTTTACGATGGTGGTTTTTTAGATATATACAGCGGACTTTCAATACGGCACGAATGAGTTGATCGATTTTTCTTTTTCAAATACAATTTACGAACTGAAATTTCAAAATTAACCGCCTTTTAATTCGAAACTATAAATTGGACAAAAAATTACTTTTTTTGAAAAAAAAATATATATATATTTTTTTTTTTGAAAAAAAAAATTTTTTTTCTTTATATTATTTTTTTTACATATTTTGGAAGATCTAAACCTTTTTTCAAAGCAATCGTACTGCTTCAACTGCATAAAGACAAAATATAAAAGCGCGTAAGCGCCGCGTCGCCGTCT